TCGTGTTTCGCCATAACCATAGGTCTAGGTTAGCTCATAACATACATGTTCAAAGGGTCTAGTTAATATTTACAAAAGATCTTGTTCATATTTAATATATATTGAAACGTCATTAGTAATGGTTTATTTTCAAAGGCGAGGAACACTTTGTCAGCAAGTTGTGAAACGTATTTTGTATTAGGTCAAGAGGCCATTATGTGGTAAAAAGTCAGACAAACCAAAAATGTGTGACGGAAGAGGTCCTGGATCAGCCCCTGACGATTCTATACCTGCAAAAGAAGAGCATTACAAGTAAGACCAGTCCAAAGATAAGATGTACTTTATTAATCTCACACTTGTCAATTTTATGTGACACATTGTGTTAATATGATCTTTAAGACTTTTAAATGCAGAACTTGAAGCAAAAAATGCAGATATAATCAGACAGGCAGATCTACTCTTGGTAAGAGTTTTTGCGATCTACTTTAGTGTGACGAGGTTTGAATTAATCACCTTTTGTCATTCTTAGAAAGAACAAAATACACTTTTTTCAAAGCCCCTGTCGACTGTCAAACTCACAGACTTTGAGGAAGATGGGAGGTAAATTATTAATTTATTTCTTTTCAAAATATTATTTGTGTTTTATAAAATTCTTAGGATAATGTTGCTTTACTACAGAATAATGACAACTTTACATGACAGTAGTGAAAAGCCTCACATTAAGGTAAATTATTTTTTTGACGAAAACGCTCCATTTTTTGCCCATTTTCCTTCTTTGAAATTATTTTCCTTCTGCATAGGTGAAGACCAAGCATCAGGCAACATTCAAAGCCATTCATTCTGGAAAACAGCCCAAAGATAAAACAATGTAAGACGCATTTTATTCATGATTATATTTTCTACTGATTTAGATCCCTCTGTATGATAATCCGCTTGATGCAAAGGATGCATTGAAAATAATAAATTGGTTGCACCACCATTTTTAATTTTATTATATATATATATATTATGTATATATAATATATATAATATATGTAAATAATCGCACATAAACAAAACACCCCATAAAATGTAATTTCACAAAACAAAATATAAAAAAATCTTCAACAAAATGGGTTTTTTATTATGATTTATTATTAGAAGATCAAAAATATCATCTGGCAACTATTTGGTTGCATTGGAAAAGAATGCTGGTACATTTCTGTCAAAGACGATACTGAACATGGAAGAAAAGATGAATGAAGAGCAGTTTTCCGACCCCTTCTTTATAGAAACAAAGACACCTGGTATATATATGTTTATATATTTATATATATATATTATATACATGTATATCTACATTCATAATATTTTACCCTGTGTTACTGTTTTTTTAACCAAGATGTTTCAGATGCGCAAATGCGAGTGTTGAAAGCCAAATTTCGGATTATGCAAGAGGAATTGGATCAACTAACCAGTGAATACTATAAGAAGGTATAACACTGCCATCTTCATACTAGTACTGTTTAAGTTGATTAATGATTATTATCAATTGTAGGATGATGAAAATATTAGGCTCAATTCCAAAATCAAGGAGCTGGAGGAGGAGCGGTCAAAGCTACAAAAGTCAGAGAGCATCCTGAAGACACAAATTGAAAAACACAAAGTTTTGGTTGAGACATCTGATAAAAAGATGTGAAAGGACTTCAGATGCACATAGTGGAGTTAAATATAGGTTTGTTCTCACAAATCACAATGCAGTAGCATTATTTATATTGTACTGTACCAATGTGCTTACAGGAAATTGAAAGCCTTAATAGATCCAGCAAACAGACAGCAACACTTCATAATAATGTAGAGATTCGCCTGAATAGAGCAACAGAGGAATCTCAGAGACTTAAGAGCGAACTCAACAAAATTAAGCAGATGAACAAGGTACGGAGTCACTACAAGATAAAAGGTTGGATTTTAACAAAGTATTGAATAAATACCCAATGACCAAAGCACGCTTTTCAGAAATAAAGGTATTTGCAATTGTCAGTAACCAAAGTTGTATTGGCATAGTGTATATATAATATACAGTATAATACATAAAATAGTGGTAGAATAAAAATATTCTTTGTTGATAAAAACAACAAAAAAACAAGTCATCTTTAAACAGCCCCATTATGTCAAAAGGCATTATACACGTAAGCCATGCTCTTTATGAATATTTCTTTAACTGATAACAGTAGTTCAGCCGGGATACCCGAATTTCAAAATTGGATTTACAGCCCCAAAAACTTGTTATTGTTTACATTTTGATGTCCCGCCCTCCACCGGTGACCTGGGTTGCAAGACCTCACAGCGTTGAGCTAATCTCACTGGTAAAAGTAACATGTTGCCGCAGAACTAAGGGGTCTTATTGTGATTCTCAAATCATTAATGACAAAACAAGGAATAAAACAAGGATTTCTGTCTGGGATGGCTTTGTGACAAAAATGTTGGTTATACATTTGTTGTTGACAAAACACTTGCCTATTCAGTTATTATGGTCCCAGCTGGATTTGTCGACCTATCTGGCAACCTGAGTCAGATCAAAAGCGGTACTGCATTCTGCCATATTTTTACATTTTGCTCCTTTAAAAGGAGCAATAAGTAAGAAATTTCATGTCCTCAAGTCCTCATTAAATGGCTCTAATTTGTCAAAAGGCATTAATAAACCATGTTCTTTTTTAATACTTATTTAACTGATAATATGTAATTTAGCCAAGATATTCAAATTTTAAAATTAGTTTTACAGCCCCTATATCTTGTTGTTTTAATTTTGATGTCCCGCCCTCCACCGTTTTACCAATCAGAAAGTCAGTGATCCGGGTTGCCAGAACTCTCCACGTCGAGCTAATCTCATGGGTAAAGTAACATGTGGCCGCAGAACTAAACAAAGGTCTCGTAATGATTCTCAAATTATTAATGACAAAACAAGGAATAAAACCAGGATTTCTATTTTTGTGAAAAAAGGTGTTGGTTATAGATTTGTGGACAAAACTCTTAATTTAGATAATATGCCCCAGCTGGATTCGTCTGCATACCTGGCAACCTGAGTCAGGGAGAGTGCAGTACCACTTCTGGCCAGAGTTTTATATACTGCTCATTTAGGTCACCCAAATACATTATCAGTAAATATGTAAATGTCCATTAAAAGACATGAAAGCTAAACAAATTCTTTGTGATGTTTGATTAGGACAAAAGTGATGAGCAATATCAAGGCAGAGAAAACCTACAAGCAGAAAATAAAAACCTTAAAAAACAGAAAGCAGAACTTGTTATTGGCTTCAAGAAACAACTAAAACTTATAGATATTCTCAAACGACAGAGGGTAAGTTTCTCAACTATTTTCTAAATCAGTTCACAGTTTATGCCTTCACCTTTTCTCTCCCAAACAGATGCATTTTGAGGCTTCTAAGCTTCTGTCCTTCACTGAAGAGGAGTTCATGAAAGCACTTGATTGGGGAGAGTTGTAATATTGTATTTAAACATTTTGTTTGTACTTTGAGACACAAATATTGACATTTGATCTGGATTAATACAAGTCTCACTGCACATCAGAAATAACTGGTTGGAATTCGTCTGATGAATAATAAAACAAATCTATGACCGATTCTCTATGAATCAATGGAAGGATGGTTTTGTATGAGTTTATTGTAACCTTTCACTGCCAAAAAGTTATTAATTATAGTCCTCCCAGTCGTCTTCTGAGAAGATATCAGCGTCACGAGTTTGAAAGTTTTTTCTGAAGTCTTCATCTAAATGCGCGAGGTCATCTACACGAAGCAAGCCCTGAAAATGACACATTATTATAAACAATTCAACTCAAAACAATAACAAAATGAATACCTTAGGAAGGTAACCAAGTAGCTGTTTTGCATGACGTTTAAGAAGCTTCTGTCTCTCTTCTTCAATGATTTTCATACGCAGTGCCTCCCTCTCCTCTTCAAGAGCTTGTTCTTTTGCAACAAACTCCTTCAAAAGATCAACAGAAAAGATTTGTTTCTTCGTCAGGCATCATTAGAAAATGTAGCCATGTGTTTTTGTTGTATTGTACCTTATCGGCCTCATGCTGCCGTCTCCGTTCCTCTATGAGTTTCTCTACTTCGCGTTTGTGTTCCAGCTGCTTCATACGACGTTTTTGAGCATTCATCTGCTCTATTCGATCATCCTCAGCAAACTTGACAAGCATAATCTTTCGGAAAGCTTCTTCTTCTTCTCTTTCTGCTTGTCTTTGCACTTCTTTGAAAGCCATTTGCTGCTGACAAGTCTGCTGCATCATCAACCGCTGACGGATCTTCTTCTCCATTTCCAACTGTGAGATAAACATTATTATTATTATTATTATTATTGTTATTATTATAATAATAATAACATGTCAAAGTATATTTTACACCATCACATCAGAAAACCTCTTCACATAAAAGTACTTACGATCTCCCTCTGTCTGTTAGCCTCTTGCTGCTCCTCTAAGTAAAGTTCTTCACGCACCCGCTCCATGTCTTCCCGCTGCTGCCGTTCTTTGTCAATCTTCTCAGATAACTAAAAAAAAAATATAAATCTTAAAAGTGTTTGCTGTGTTATTAGAATACATATTGAGGATATAAAATCGTGTGTACTAGTTTATGAAGTTTCTCCTTTGCAGCTTCCCTTTCTTTATTCATGGCCTTTTGGTTTGTCTCCTTCTGCTGCTGGCGCCTTGCATACTCCATAATTCGTCTGTTTCTCAACGTCCATCTGCTCCTGCTCCATGCGCCTCCATTCAGCCTGCTGTCTCTTGAACTCTTCAATGTGGTTCTTTAGTGGCTTTGACCTTTTCCAACTTCAGCCGTCTTTCCCTGAAATGTATTTTAGAATGTGTCAAGTCAAGTGATGTCCAAGATTGTAAAATAATTTCAATAAGTAGATTATTGGCATTAGCTCCCTCTAGTGTTAAAAGATTGTTCTGCTTGGATCAAAACAAATACTTGTATAAAAAGTATTTTTTTAATGTATCATTTGTGTTAGTGTTGTATTAGTGTGGTACCAAATGGTACCTACTAAGATGGTATCACATTAGAAAAATAAATCACTGGTGTTTATCCGTTTGTTTGTCTGTGAGCATCTTATCTCAACAAGTGACAGGAGATTTCAAATGAAATTTTTCAGGAAACGTGCATTCATCCATGCAGGAATAGCACTGCTCCTCTTTGCATTTTAGTTAAGTATTGTTTAGCAGGTGATAGTGTTCTCACTCACCTGCTAAAATGTTTTAAGATTGTATTGTATTTGATTGGATCTGTAGGAACCAATAACGCAACAGCCAAAAATAAAGCTGACCATTTTCAAAACGGGTGATAATTGGGTGATAATGTGAATTCTGGTATGCCGAAAATGTAAGACATCACTGGCTGGTTATATAATGGACATAACAATAACATTGGACGACCCAGAATCATTGCTGCAAGTAAGTTTTGTACAGTGCAGGAGATCAAATACAAAGAATTACAATATAATTTACACATGATAACAAGTCTGTCTGGATCTTAACCACTGTTTGAGCTCTCTGCTGAAGATGGTGATGTTAGTCTGTAGTTTTAGTCCGGTGGGGAGAAGATGTTATGTGCTCTGGGAGCACAGTGAGGCAATACAGCAGATTTAGATTTCTATTTTAAAGTAAAATTGTATTAAAAAGTGACAAACAAGAACTGCATCTTTTCAGTTTGTAGAGGACATATAGACACTGATTTTTATATTTGACATATAAAATTATTTTGGTTACATTATCAATAATGTAACCATCAGCCCATCAGGTAAAACATTATCAGCACACCCAGAGTTATTAAATTATTGACTAGATATTACCAGCTTTATTACATTTGAAAATGGCAAAATAAAACACTGAACATTGTGGTCCTGACCTAAGATAGAATTATTAAGCAATACTTACATTTGATCCTCTTCGTAAATCTTTCTAATAATCTCATCCACCATAAGTTTTTCTTTGAGAAACTCGTCATAAGCTTCTTGTTTCTTGTTCTGTCGCTCCATGAGTTGGTCATCCAGCTCTTGTTGATAACGAATTGCCTCCTCATGTCGTCTCTGCTGAAGCTTCTTCTCTTCAAGACTAGCCAGTTCTTCTTCCATTTGCATCTTCCGTGCAAAGTCTGCTTCTGATCGCTAAAGAACATTTAAGATGGCTGTGTGCTACAGATGGGTTTGACAAATAATACTCCACATGTCATAAAGAAACAGAACATACCATTGAATCAAATTTCAGGGCTTCTTGCTCAGCAATTTGCGCTGCTCTCTCCTTATTCATATAAGCAAACCTCAATTTTGACTCAAGTTCTCTGAGTTCTGTGCTGAATCGTAGAAACGACAGAGAAAATAGGTTATTGAAGGTACCATTGAGGTACCATCGAAGTAACATTATTCATCCATTATTGGAATTATCTTAAGCATAACAAATAAACTCGAATACCTGTTCTCTTTAATATGCTGACGAATTTTCTCTTCCCTTTGCTTTTCACAGTTGATGCGTGAAAGCTCTTTTGCAATTCGTTCTTCCTGTTCTATCTGCATTTGTCTGTTTATTTTATCTCCTTTAGCCTGCTTGACAAATTATTACATTAGGTATTTCACATATTTAAAAAAAATCCAAGGCACACCAAACAACAACTCAAGGCACATTAACTTAACACTGATTGAAAAACAATGTAATAACCTACATGCAGCTCCCCAAAACAACACAAAGCATAAAGATTTCGCTATGTCCAAAGATACCTTGAGAATGGCGTTTTCCATTTGTTTTTGGTTGTGCTCTTGGCGCACCTGCTGCAGGTTCCTCCGCCTCTCAAACACCTCCTCGTCCCGCAGACTCGCCTGTAGCTGGCGGTCTTTGTCCACACGCACCGCGGCCTCATGTCGAAGCTGCTCCTGTCGTAAGTTTATTAACCGCTGCTCGTTGTAAGACCATGCGGCTTTCCGACTCTAAACACACAAAGGCAACACAAGTATGTCATACGGCTACACTATGGGTAGCTAAACAGTAAGTTAACGCTAGCATATCTGCCATAATGAGCTCGCTGACCATAACTGCAGAAATATTCCTCCACAAAAAGTAGCTTGAACTAAATTGTTAATACAGAAAAAACTATCGAGAGGTCAGAAACGTAGCACCAGCTTTTAGTTTGGTATCCAGTTGCCATAGGAAACAGCGCCGGCGGAAGTTCCGGAAGCAGCACGCGAGTTCCTGCCAGACGATTTAGGTTCCTGGCAATATATACAGTTTATGTTCCTGGCACAGCCAAGGCTATATTTTATTCTATTATAGTTCTGTGCTGACTGTTGACACCTGCCAGTGTTTAATACGCATGGATCTATTGCTTTGGTCTCTCCCCCTTGTTATAATAGATTCAAGTATACAGTGTATGAAAAAAAATACGTTGGTATTAAAGGTTTATTTTACATTAGTACTCTTCTACCAGACCAGGATCTATCTTTGATTTAAAAACGTCTGCGTGTAAAAATGGGATTTTTATGTGTCTGTACATTCATATATAAAAAATATATATACACACATACATATAAAAGTATACACATCTTATGTCCAGCAGCAGAAAACTCATCCAGGTCTGTTATAGTCTGACAGCTTAAGGATCTCTTAACACTTGTGTATAAAATAAAATAAAAAAAAAAAAAATTATATATATATATATATATATATATATATATATATATATATATATATATAAATAAATGATACACATACTATATAATACACACACAAATAATGGACAGACCATTGTTTAAACAAATCCAGAATTTACTATTTTCAAATAGTGACAATGTGCTTAAGGTAATTTGTAATGATGGGGCTATGATGACAAGCACAGCGTAACCATAGTGTGCATTGCAATGAGAAGGATAAATACATTCATCTGTCTAAAGGTTTTGTTGAGAAACAATACATGTATTATGGCCAGATATGTAATGTGATTATTCTAATGAACACCTTTCACAGCAACTAAATCAGTTTGAAAATGTAAACATGTATTTTACATATTGTCAGTTGAAAATAAAATAAAAAAGACATTATGTACACTACTGTTTTTGTAGATTAAAAACGGTCTAAATTAGTTCTAATTGTTGCATCCTAATCTGAAAGTACTTAAAGAGCACTAGTTGGCTCTGGCGGCAACAGGGCCTGTGGATCTTCCGTAATCATTTCTGAGGATCCATTTTCTTGTTCACATTCAGAAAATGTTGATTTTGCACACTTGTGGTGGAAAGAATCTCTTCCAGATGCTCGACAATCTCTGTAGTTTTTGATTTCAAGTTCTCAGCAACTGGAACCCTGAAAACACATCATGAGACAGTAAAACATTTAATCCACAATTATAAGTAGAGCCATAATGTTTTACCAGTGTTTACTTACACTTGATCTTTGCCGTTGATGTCTACAAACAATATCAACATCAGTATTATAAACGCACACAAAATAGTATACACAAAAAATGCATAACAAATACCTTTGACTTGAATTACTTTGCAGCCGTGATTTGGCCGTTTAGATAAATGTTTGCACATTCGGTTTCCACCTGACGAGTCCATAAGATCACATTTGAGACATACCAGCGTTACTCTGTATATACATATAGTAAAAAAATTGTAAAAGTGAGCACTTTAAAATACACAGTTATTGCAAAATAAGAAACTGTACTTTAACGATGAAGAACATTTTCCATTTTCTTTTGCAAATCGACTCTTGCTAATTGTACTATGAAATCTGCAAAATACATAAAACTTCAATTAAAAGAAAGTCAAAATAATGTCAAGTTAAATAGTTGTTAAAGTTACCGTATCATATGATTTCCTATGGCTTTTTTTACAATGTGTCTTGTAATTGCAAGCACCACAATTTAATAACATTGGGAAATGAGAAAAGAAGTCAACAACGGCACCATTGCATTCAATACATTTGTTCAGTTTTCCGGTTGGTCTGGAAATAACATTCATGAACGTTCATTAGAAGGCTGCAGCCTCAAGTACAGACATTAGCAGGTAAAAATATCAACTTACCTGAAATTTTTAAGGACCAAGTTATGTTTGGGGGTTCGTTTTTTGTTTCTTTTGAGACAAGGTCGATTTACCAGGGCCAGAGTTTTTAAACCGTGACTTCTGAGCAGATTTCTCGGTTTGTAGAGTCTCAGAAGTGACGATGAGACCAGTTTTCGAATGTAAGGTCGACATTTGGGGTTTTCCAGACAATGATGCCCGAATGGTTACCTAACCAACAAGACAGACATAAAGCTTATAGACATAACTCAAAAATGTGTGGCAACATTTGATTTAAATAAAACATTAACAATATAAAATACCTTTGTTCCAGGGGGGAGCCCTTCCAGAGCTTCTGGTTTTCTAAATGTCTTGTGGAGTTGTACACGATGATCCACTTTTTCTTTAAATGACAGAAAATTGAGTCTGCATTTTCCACATCGAAAAATTCCCTTTTTCTATTGAAAGAAAACAATATCAAATCTAAATCCTGTTAAATGAGTACCTTTTTCTAACTTATTATTCAAGAGAGCTAATCAACATTAATAAATAGGTCTATATATTTTTGATGGGGAGAGTGCCTGTACAAATTCAAGTGTATTGTACCACCCAAAAAGTCACACATTTGACAAATAACATGCTGGTTGTAGAATCACCTAAGCCGATTTTACAACCTGATGTTTCATGTAGTGCTGCATATAATAGTGGGGCCACTTTTAACCACTTTGAGACAAAAGGGTCATCTTTTGTATTTCATGTGCTTCTCGAAAATGCGTTTCCACATATGAGAAGAAGGAAGATCTGAAATTGCAAACCTGTGGGAAAAGGTCATTTAAAAACAATAATTTGGAAAAAAAAAAAAAAAAAAAATACTCCTTTAGGATTTCCAAGACTCACAGAATATTGGTGCTTTGACTTGTATATGAATACAAAGACTGGACTGTTTACTTTCGCAGCAATAATAAGTTCGTTTTTAGCTTGTTTCATTCTCCTGTGATCTCCAGTCGAAAAGAGGGGAGATGTGAAAAAAGCAAACCTGTCTTAGAAAAAAAGCTGATTTAAAATGAGGTGTTTTGTGAAAACAGAGCGAACCTGCAGAAAAGTGACTAACACTATTTAGTTTAACTTTACCATCTCCTCAAACATGTCCAGAGTCTTACATGTTAGAAAACAGCAGCAACACGTTATGAGAAAGTGTTTTTGATGCAAAATAATGTTTTATGGCACACACCCACAAAGTGTTGCTCGAATATTTCAAAATGTACTCATCCAAAAAAACGTCAAAAATATACATATTGAAAGTAGAGCCCATGACAAACTAAGCCAGAAAGAATGGCCAGTATTCATCCTTTAGGTGGCGCTATATTGATGTCGATAAGAGTAAATCAGAGATAAGCTATAAATTACAATGATAAACACTATAAATAACAATAAATCAAAGCAAACCAGACTATATACTTATACTATAAGTGCAATAGAATACTGTTGTGTGTCTTTGTGTTTGGGCGCGCATGTATGTGCGTTTATGCACGCGTTTGTGAGGTTACATCTACAGAGTGTCGCTCTGTTTAGTCCAGCGAGCGTTGTGACCATAACTGGACTTTGACGCTGGCTCCTGAGGTGGGGTGGACTCAGTGATAGTTTTAGCAATATTCCACTTTTCTGTGGCATTTTTGGGGCGCACCGCTGACCCTCCACATGGTCTCTGGAGACACATTTACTGCTCAAACTGCCTCCAAATGTAGCCTGACCTGAAAATATTACTCCATACCTGCTTCACCTCTCTCTCCTGCACACAATGCTCAGACAGTGACTTTGACAGACACCCACAGCCATCTTTGATACAGGGAGGTTTTCAAATAAGACGCACCTTTCCTGTAGTTTTGAGCTAGCGTGCTGGATTTAAAAAATGTTGTAGACTGATAAAAATCCGCACAGCTATGTAGCAATCAGTTTTATTTACACGTAGTGAAAAAGTATAAAACTAACCTGACATTCGTAGGGCATTTCTCCAGGTTTGTGATTATTTTTCATGTGGTCCAGAAGAACTTGTTCTGACTCAAAGGCCAGCTCACAAATCTTGCAATTGGCTGAAAAAAAATTACCCCTTTATTTATAATGACTTATACAAAATGTGTATAATAGATAGTAAGGGCTCCTTATACTTGTTGAGTCAATTTGGCTGTGAGCCCCCTCTATGTGACACTGTAGCTGGAATGGAGTCAAGTACTGTCGGTAGCAATGCTGACAGGTTGTATGGCTTTCAAAGCTTTCGCTATTCTGCTTTTCCAGCTCCAGGTGATGCTTCATATGGTTCATAAACCTAAGAAATTAACACACAGAGCTATTAAACCTGACAAAAAACTTATTTGCAGGGGGAAATAACCACGTATAAAAGTATGTATGACATCATGAAATTAGAGCAAAATCGTCCTCATTAAGTTTATAGTTCTACATGTATGCCGGGAAAGCAGACAATTGCAAACGATTTTTGTTTTCAAAACAAATCAATATTGTGCTGTCAACACACTAAGCTATTTAATTTCTGCTTTGCTAATTAAAAAAGATAAAACACTTTTCAGGTCAAGGTTAATGACAAAACGATGTAGAACGCACATGCTCTTAATCTGCACTCAATGAAAATAATATATTATAACTCCTCCCCTTAACCAATAGTTCAATAGTGAATGGAATTATTCATAACCACATGCAAACAGCGCCTTCAGAATAATTCCCAACAGGTTTTAAAAGATAAATTAGGCTTTGGTCTTGCACCCCACATTCTAAGCATGTATAATGGCCCTTATAATATCTGCAATTATACATAGATTTTAGTTTTGCCTAATGATGTAGTGCCCTGCGGTTACACTAAGCACCACTACAGGTAGCTGCCATCGGTGCCCTGACGAGGCTTGGCCCATTTTTCAGCTGGTACATTATGCTACCTCAGCTCCCCTAATAGACATTTTTATGTGGATGAACCATGACCTTGACAGTGAGAATATGGTTAGAGTACAAATGTGTATCCCCATTAAAAGCAGCTTACAGATGCTTTTTTGCAACATTCTGAAGTAGTTATTTAATCAAAGGAACAGTTCTTATGCCACCTAAACTAGCAACTATTTTTCATTTTTAGGCCCGTGAGAGAAAATGACATGAGGCTTTAATTTATCTTAGAGGAAAATCATGTAAGAGTCAAGGAAGGCATGTTTATTGTTTATTGGCACAGTACACGGTTCAGTGTCAGCCAGTTATTGAATGACAGATTTGGTTTGTCGTTCTTTTCAACGAGTTTCTGAATCATCCAAATTAATGTTTTGTTTATTTAGTGTGTGGGGCTGTATTCAAAATATTGGTATTGCAATTTATATCATAACGGACTTCCAGAAACAACAAATTATGAATTACAGATTTACTGACCAGGTGACAACTGCATCAAGGCAGAATCTACTGGTGAGAACAAAATCTATCAATTCTAATGAATTTCCAATGCATATTGTGATTCTAAAAATTGCGATTGTTGACATAAAGTTTGAACAGTGTATCCCACGCCGCCCTAATGAATATGCAATTCTGTATTTTAGGTCATGATAATTATACCACAGAAATGTACATGAAAGCACTAATGAATTATCTGCAAAGTATTCAAGGACTCACCGAATATTATTCTTTAGCACTTTCAAGCAGCTATGGCATTTAAAAGTGGTTGCTCTATCAATCTCCGGTGTATAGCCATCTCCTTCAAATTTGCCATAGTAGAACTCTCCGACCAGCATTATACGCTTCCCATCACCAGCGTTTTGTGGTGCTGGCGATGCACCTTCATGAATGACGGCCGGTTTACAACTCTTCAACCAAAAAATATACAGATGAAATGTGCTTCGACCATAATCTTAAATTGTTATACAGTCAATGCATTTATTTAATATAAAAAAAAACTTCATAAATAGCTTACCATCATATGACTTTTAAATGCCTTTTCATCAAAGGTAATTTTGCAGTATGTACATTGATGATTAGCCAAACCATTTTTTGTAATGTTACTTGACTTTGGATATGCTTTGAATAAATAAAAGGACAGGTTAGGACGATTTGGCATAACAAGATTATGAATGCAAACATTTTGTACATTTGTACAAAAATGGCTGTATCCGTAAGATACTTACACTTTAGTTGCAAAGATGTGTTGGGCTGCGTTACTTGCATTGGACTGGGTTTATTGTTGAATACAGGTGGACCGTGCATTTTTGACAATGTTACAATGTTGCCTAATTGTTGCATCTGAGGCCTATGGACTGCACCCTGTATTACAGATGTCGCAGAAATTGGTTGAAATACCTGTGACTGGGCTGAAACAAAGAAACAGAAAAACAAATCAAACTAAACCTGCGCGCAGCGTACAACCACCCTCGCCGCACCGCGCAACCTTGCACCACGCAATGCTGCACCGCGCAACGTCACACTGCGTATAGCCCTAATGGGAAAAAACACTGTTTATTGTAAACATTGCAATGCATTTGATTAGTAAGTGCATGTCTCCATTGAATAACAAGGGAACCTTCCTTCGTCTCAAAACAACCCCAAAATTCCAGCCTGCTGCATAACTGTTAAACTGAGAAAAAAAATGACAGCAGACTTTTGATGCTACACTTGTTTACAGTATGTGGAGCGAATTTGAGCCCAGTTGGCATAAACGGCCGAGGCTGGTTTGGCAAAGTGTACATGTAATTCTTTAGATCGCTCTGTAGGGGGTGCCAATGCTGCAATTTCATGTTACTCACGTTCAGCCAACGTAGATCAAACAGTTGAACAACTGATTCACGTTTGGTGTTAAACAGGAGCAAATTTAAAAGTGTCCAATTTGGGTAAATAAGGTAGAATTTGCTGCTCTGCTGCTTTCACAGTGTTTAACTGGTCAAAATTCTGCAGCTAACTTTTGATCTGTTGAGATGATGTGGAGCAATTCTGAAATAAATTGGTGAAACAATCGAGGCTGGTCTGTTAAAAGTGGGGGTGAAGATGAGAGATTTTATTATTTTCCCATTAACACAGAATGGGGAGTGTTTGTCATTGCCACGGCAACACGGTGAAAAATAAAACATGCATTCAAATGGCTTTTTGGATCGGAATGTCATAACAGAATTGTGCAAAATGTTACACATTTTGACAAAACTAAATTTCTTCATGCCCATTAAAAAAAAATGTAGGCTCACTCTGTAGGGGGTGCTCATGCTGTATTTTCATGCGTTTCACTTTCAGCTGACCTAGACCTCTTTGGACTTTGTATGTGTAAGCGGGAGCCAATTTGAAATTCTCAAAGTTGGAGGAAAAAAAGTGCACATTAGTCGCTCCGCTGCTTGAACACTGTTTAATCAATCACAATTCTGAAGTTATCTTTTGATGCTACTTGTGATTAGATGATGGAGCCATTTTGAGCCATATCTATGAAACGGCTGAGGCTGGTTTGTTTTGTAATTAAATCTTTTCCTCCCCATGTATACCTTTGGCTCATTCTGTAGGGGAAGACTGCTCAAACCTGCATGAGTAGCCTGGTCGTACCACACCATAGTACAAATTACATTTCGTACTAAGGTCTGGAGGTGCTCCATTGAGCTCCGTTTACAGGTGGGAGGGGTTAACTTCTTTTGCAGATTGAAACGATTGGATCAGAGTTTACCGTGACGTATGTAGTGCGCCCGAGTGAGTTGTTAGCATTTAGCCTAGCCACAATTTTTCCAGCAATTACATTTGCTAAACATTACCCTTGCTCCGGCTTCAATTTCTTGATAGAACCAGACCAGATTACATTACTATCGCATTTTTCGCCATTACCAAAATACAACCTGCCTGTTCGACGCAAACTCTTGACATCACCCACAACTAACTACAACACCTGCCTTCCGCGCTCTCTGAATGGTCGGTCGAAATTCAACCGATTGTAATCGCTAACATTGGGACCAGACCCAGACGTTACATGCAGTGAAATGATGATTGAACGGAGTGTACAGATGGCTAAGGCCAGGCTACTGCATGAGTAAACAGGAGCAAATTAGAAATTCTCAAAGTTAGGGAAAAAAAATAAAATAAAATAAAAGTCCAGTTTTGCTGCTCCGCTGCTTGCATACCGTTTAACCCAGGGGTGTCAAACTCATTTGGGTAGAGGGCCGAATAAAAAAAGGAAAGGGCTGATCAGGGGCCGAAACAATAAGAGAGTTTCATTTGACTTTGACACCTGTGGTTTAACCGATCAAAAATCTGTGGCCAACTTTTGATTCTACATGTGTAGAAGATGTGGAGCAATTTTCAGCCAAATCTGTGAAACAACTGAGGCGGAGTTGATGCTCATACAAAATCTACCGTTGGCTGTAGGGGGCAATAACGCTGTAATTTCATTTTTTTTCACATCCAGGTGAAGTAGATCCGAGTTGCAAATCAAACTTTGTATGAGTAAACAGGAGCAGATTTGATTTTTTCTTTTTTCAAATGCTCCATGTGTGTTGATATGATGCTAAAATTTTGAGAGAAATTTGTGAAACGGCCGAGGCGCAGTTGATGTTCATACAAAACCTACCTTTGGATCAGTCTGTAGGGGGCACTAATGCTGCAATTTCATTTCACATCCACGACCCATAAGTTGAACAAACGATCCAAATTTAGTGCAAATTGGCAAATAAAAAAGTTTCCATGTTAGAAAAACATAAATTTTCTAGAAAAAGCGGCAAAATAGTTTGTTGCGCAGCTCGAGCAGTTTCACCAATAAAAATTCAACTTTGATGTAGGGATGTAAAAAACGATGAATTTTCATGACCGACCACCGAGCCTGATTAACCGGTTGAAACCGGTTAACCGCGTAGTTTAAAATAGTCCACGTTCTTTGAAATAACAGCCATTTCGAGCCACGTACTTTTCATAAGTGCAGCTCTGCGTTCTACTGGATCAGAGCCGAGACAGAGGCGCCCAAACCCGCAACAGCTCCGGCACCTTTGAGCACAGAGAACTGCTTTTTTAATCTTCCCATTCTGCTGTGCTGCGGGTTAATACCAAAACTTTCTAGCAGCAAACGACGGCTCGTTCACATGGTCAGAGCAGCGAGTGACGAGCCGCGTCTCACAGGTCTTCACAAAAGTTTAAATACAAGTGATGTGTGTGGAGCTGATCCCGAGGACCATAAACACAAACATGTTCCATGTGGTTTGACTGGAGCCGCGTATTTGCGCGAATCCTTTGGGCTCCGTGACACAGAGGAGCGCGACAGACCGGTATGTGTGTGTGTATGTGTATGTGTGTGTATGTGTGTGTGTATGTATATGTGTGTGTGTGTAAATGTAAGCTCCAATGTAGTTCTGACCCGCGCCAGTGTGCAACTTTGACGGTAACAGAGGGGAGAGATGATGCGTGTGGATGTTACGTATGGAGAGGGGGAAAGTGTGTGTAAGCGCGTGCACATATGTGGCTCGTCGGCGTGAGAGTCGTCCCGGAGTTTATAATACATTGGCGCACACAGCTAGAGACAGACCCGCTCGTCACACCGTGCAAATAGGGCTTAAAATAGCGTTATTAAGAGACCTCCCCTCTCCCCTTTTTCTCTTTTTTAACCGACAGCTTTGACCGGTTAACGCTGTAACGGTCAACCACCGGTTAAACGGTCGCCGATTTACATTCCTACTTTGATGCTACATGTGTTAACACCAGAGGTTTGCAACTCAGGGCTCTGTTGCTCCTTGAGTGTTGCTCCTACATCTTTTTAATGTGGCGATATGCCTTAAAAAAATATAAAAAAGTTTACTCTAAATTTCCCCATGGAGCATAAGTGTAACAGGAAATAAGCCTTAAAACATGCTTGTAAAAGACATGGACCTGCCATTGTAAACAGTGAAAATGTAGCTTAAGTTTTCTAATAACTTCACTTACAGTGACACACTGCACCTTCAAAATAACTTAAAAACGCACAAACGAGGGCCATAGCAAATATATCAATCGTATTAAACACCTGAATTATTTACATTAAATATCACATTTTTTAAACTAATGATTACTCTAAATACAATTTTTACAACAGAGAAAGTCTTTTACAAAAGCCTCCTTCGGTGTTCATGCTTGTTCTTTAAACCGTGCCAGAGCAACTGTGCTGTAGTACAACGCTCGGTCCAGCTGGTGGCGCTAAAACTAACTTCAGTGACTACCGCGTTGTGCGAGTCAAGTTTCCATTTCTCTTCCTGTTTACACTCTGCTACTGTAGCGCTAACAGCTTGAGCACTCTGTTTCTATCTGTGAGCGTTGTTTGTATCAGAGCAATAAGAGCAATGTGTGAGACATGTCTTTCCCCAAAGTGCAGCAGCTCAGTGGGACACGTGTGTGTGTGCGCGTCGCGGAGACGGGAACGCGCTTTGGAGTAAGAAGCGTGAGCGCTGAGAAAGGAATGAATGAGAATGAAAGAATGAAAAGTGTGGCGTACGAGCAGAGCGACCGGAAATAAACCCATTTCTTATTTAATATAGATATAAAAAAGGTACCTTTTTGTATTATCATTACACATCAGATATAGCTTAAGTTTTCATCTGTAGTTCTATCGTTTTTAATGGGATGGGAAACCAGAACATCCAGAGGAAACCTACACAGGCAGAACATGCAAACTCGACTCCGAAAAGCCCTGTGCTGTCTGTCGGACCCAGGACCTTCTTGCTGTGAAGTAAGACGGTCCATCCATTTCACTTTGTCAAATTAAACCGCTATTCTTGGACTCAAACTACCTTCAGGTTAGTAGGCACTTTAATACAACACAAATGAATTTAATTTGCCACTTTTCTGTAAAATGATTTTTTTTTAATTAGATTACCTGATATGAATGCAATTGAAGAGCCAGGAGTCCCAAGGGAGGCAATAAAATTACCATTGTTTGTCATTTGTGAAGAAACTATAAAGCCCTGAAACATGTAAAATATAAGTATTATATATTTATTATACACATATATAATTGAAGAAATGTGTCATTTACCTGGTTATTGACAACAATAGGCTGTGGTGTAATTGCTGACACAACAGGAGCAGGGGTATTCACAGGACTTCCCATCATATTTAGATGCAGCAAATGTGAAGGACCAGTAGATGGTTGAGGTTTGGGCTGTTGAATTACTATTTGTTTAGGATTGGAAACATCATCCATTTTTTCGTCAGCTGTTAAACACACCAATAATAAATTTAAATTGTCATTTGGATAATAAAATATCTATATATGCAAAGGATACGTACACACTACTCCGACAAATATGGGTTCATCATCATCATCCTCTTCAGTCAGGTTAATCTGAGGAAAGGACTTCTGCCATGGCTCCAACTCTTCTTCCACACACTCCATCACAAGCTCAGACATAATGGCCCTGTCACAGATTGAAAAAATATATTGGAGACACAAATACTGTAAAGGTATGGGTTAGTAAAAAAAAACAAATCTAATTAACCACAGTAATTCTCACAACAATATGCAATAAAGAGGCTTACAAAATGACAAAAAGTGTATGGGTATTCATAGATCGATCATACATTCCATTAAAAAGTGTAGTCCATGAGTTTGAATTACCCTCATAGGGCATTTTAAATACTATTCAAATGACATAGCATTTTGAAACCCATTGGTCGCCATTTGTGTCGGAAACATACACACTCTTGTGCGAACTACTAGCTAGCACATGACAATACTATCAAATCAGAGTGAATGAAGTCACTTAAGGCTCTGATATCATATCCCCGTTTGTTTCCGAAAACCACTACCCAATTTGTTGCGAAAAACTAAAACCATAACAACCTAAATTGTTGAAATGATCCAGGCACAACGCAAACATTAGCTTCTGCTGTTAGCATATCATAGTGGAGCAACTCGGACAAAGACAAGAGGTCGCCTGCGGAAATTTATCAAACTAACCAGCAGACTGGTGATACTTTTCCACCCGGTTAAGTCAAATCTTGCAGGAAACACTGCAGTTGGGCAGTATATTAACAGAAGCACAGGGAGAGCGGTCCGGGCAGCTCCAAGTCTGGAGCAGTCGTGGCGGACTACAATCCGACCAATCAGGACTTTGGTTGGATCCGTCTCCATTTACTTCCCCTTTGCAAATTCCACTTCCTGGATGTATAAAAAAACACACAGTAAGCTACTAGTTTATAAGTTGCACAGACAAATACCAAATAAGAAGAAAAGATAGGAGAGTTTTGCTAAATATTCAAATAATCTTCCAAGTTGGACTGAAATTTACATTATGATAGAACTCGGCTATTTGGTCATTTTACTGATTATATATATATATATATATATATATATATATATATATATATATAAATACACACATATATATATATATATATATATATATATATATATATATATATATATGTGTGTATTTTTTATATATATATACAAAATTGTTGTAATCTCACAATTCACAATTACCATCTAAAAATTGGTTAATTTATTTGTATTATTATTTGTAATATACCAGATTTATAAATATTAATAAATGTTTTGCACAGAGGTGATACGGTACCACAGCTACTCTGACGCACACTGACAGAATCAAGGCAACCAGCATGGGACACTGACCGAATAAACTCATTCTAGGCAATGTCGGTGAAGAGCATGGTGAAGGGTCACTTTGCACCATAGCACCGGGTGATCCTAGACGTCTAAATCATGGTACTAATCAAGCTCTGTCCTTTCTGGCTTCCGAGGTCTGATGGAATCTGGCTTTTACATGCAAGTGGCACCAGATATGTAAGCTAACAAAGTACAATTGTGAGGAGAGTAGTTATACTTAATTTCACAGGAGATTTTCAACATTAAACAGAAATTTAGATCACCCATATTATACCAAAAATGTATGTGTTTATTTCATTCAATTCATTTCCAAATAATTAAATAGTACATTTTATTTAAAAAGTAAAATTCAAAAACATCTGATCCACTTTTAGCTAAAGAATTTGACCGAAACATATTTTATGAGCTGCTATCTTTCCTGCATATGGAACAAATGAATATGTCATTTTAGAAGGGACTGTTTTGGATTGAATGTTTTTTTTTTAAAGCATTGATCGAAGTATTGGTAATAAAGGCTCAGTGTGATTCAGAAAATATCATAAAATGACGTGCGTTTGTCCAACAGGTGGCAGTCTGGATTGAACAAAACTAACAGATGTGCTGCAGGAAGATCCACATGCAGTAAGTGTTCCCAACAAGAGAGAAGCACTTTTTCGCCAAGAACCATATACAACATTAAATGTTTCTTCCCATGTAAACATGAAAACAAATAAAACAAATAATATATGTCTAATATCCGTATATAAGTTGTGATGAAATGAACCTTGTATTTGTGATACAGGCCTTTATGATCACTGTTGAGACTTGGCTAAACGTTGTAAAATGGACATTCATTGTGTATTAAGCCTATTGTGGACAAATCTAATTTTATTGAGGGAGACTAGTAGGCTCGCTCGTCTAACATATTGGATTTGAGCACCGCGGAGGAAAAAGTAGTTCCTCCAGAGGCGCTATTGCGCTGAACGACTGTGATCTTTTGTCGTTTTAAGTATATTTGAATCTCAAAGAACACAAAGCAAACTGTTTTCTCTCTTGAGTATTATCGTTAGTCTATGATACACCGTAGACTTGTGGGTGTCTAATATTGTGTGTGCTGTAACTTTGTGACTGTGTCTGTGGCAGATGTCCTACACACCTGTCGACGTATAGGAGTTCATTGACTAACTAATGTTTGAGTGTCTGTCCCTGTTTGATGCATTTATTATTAGGCAATTTGAATATGCAAATCAGACCAGATGATTCCTTCCCAGATACAAGTGCCATGTCCAAATCGTTGGCGAGTGGGTTGTCACTAATACATAAGTTACTTTGCGTTTCTTGCTTCAGCTTGATCGTACAATCTGAGGGTCGTATCTCTTGTCAAGTGCGTTCATGTTTGCAGCCTGGATCACAGAGTCGCACCTCGACTGATTCACGAGCAATGGATTGGTGACGGCTGCGCGCGGGTCAGGCAAGGCGTGTGCTTGTGCGTGTGCGTGTGTGCGGTACAGTCTACGGTCCCTCAGCACCCCGCTGTGCAGAGGGGTCTGTGTGGGACTTTCATGTAACCGTCTCAGCGGAAGGATACAATCACCACTGTCATCGTGGTGCTGAGGCTTTCGCAAAGCAAAAATGTCTGCCTAAGGGAAACTCGTTACTGATATATAGAGGATTATTTCCTAGATAGAACCACGCAAACTCGCATTTTCCTGCACTGAGCCTTATTGAAGAAAGAGAAGCATCATCAGATCACCCTAGTTGGATATTTTGTATCGGTTTAAGGTAATAAAGGGAGTTTGTGAAAAGCTTTCTGACCAGTGAAATAAGTTAGGAGTTGGGGGGTACATCACTGGACTCAAAACAATCTCAATCAGCTTTTGTTTATGTTGTTTATTTATGCTGTATTTAATTTTACAATCTATATTATGCTTGGTTTTCTGTTGTATTGTTTACAATCGATGTTGCATGGCGTGTCCGTATCTCCGCGACTGCAGTCTGCCGCTAGCTCTTTAAGCCTGAAAAGAGACAGAACGGGGGCTAATGCTACTGCTAACCCCGCGATCAGAGACCCCATAATTTTCACTCGGACTGGATTTGGTTCAAGCATGCTGTCACTTAAATCGGTGATAGCATGCTGGGTAATAACACCTTGTTCAGTGAGTTGCAAACATGTGTTGGGAGAGATGCGACAGTGATGCACATGAGGACAATTGTTACCGCAATAGACCATGATGCGGATCTATCTTAAACGCCTATTATCTGCTGATTAATCGACGTAATTAGCTCAAAAGATGTAAAAGAGATATACAAAAGTTTAATTGAATGTCATGCATACGTACTTTCACTTGACGCAAAAAGAACCAATGACAAATATACTTCGACATTCATATTATTCTCCATGACAGTCACATCTTGTGCCTCCTGCAGACATGTTCATTAGTGACATCGGTGTGTTTCAGGTTTCCAGACGGACAACAATGAATCCTCAGCAGCGGATTGCCGCTCTCGGAACAGACAAGGAGTTAAGTGACCTGCTGGACTTCAGTGCGGTAGGGCGCTCTTCGCACTTTCCTGTGGTGATGGGGTAAAGGGGCAATTAATGAACGCACTAAAATATGCTTATCACAAAGGCAAAGTTGTATGGTTTTGTTACTAGGCCTACGGATATTATTTTAGTAGATGTTAACCATTGTAATGTTTAGTGGTGTAATTATAACAGAGTGTATAATTTTTTTGTATTTTGACCCACAATATATACAATTACAAAAAAATGCTAAACTGTGCTAAAATATAAATGCTGCTTTCTAACTATTGTTACTAATTTCATACACAAGTACAGTTGTGCATGAAATTATAGTATAGTAATTTCATACACAACTGTATAGTTGCGGTTTACAAAGTAACAATTGTAAACCGCTTTGTGACTCTGGTCTGTGAAAGGCGGTATATAAATAAAGATTACTTACTTACTTACTTACTACCAACAGTGGCCTGCTGTTTTGGGGCTTTGGTTATTGGCTTATATATTTACCTATCATTACAGATGTTCTCGCCACCTGTAAATGGAGGGAAAAACAGGCCCACCACACTGGGAAGCAGCCAGTTCAGTGCCTCAGGTAAAACCTGTGTCTAAAAACATACAGAACCTTTTTTTTCTTTCTTAAATTATCTGTCTGTTGATCTATAAAATCCACACTCACTTTATTTGCGTTTTTTGGAATTTGAAGAATCAAGTGATTGTTTCTGATCGTTGATGTCTGGTTGTGGACCTAGAGTCTGAATAATAAAAACCATACCTGGGTTTGTCACGCAGTTGTAGTAATGACGTAGTGCAAAAGTTATGTCTGAGAAACTTAACCAGCTTGTTATTGATTCAATTATCATTGGTAATCAAGAGTATGGATGGATCACACTCATATCTGTCAAATCAAATGTGCGTTAAAATAATTGTTTAGTTATGGTCTTGTGATACACACTTGACCAATAATGTAACAATATAGTCGTATCCTCACCATGTTATGTAATTTTATGTGCTTGTAATGCATTAAAGAGACATTTTACAGTCGATTTGCAGTTTAGTATACTCTTTGTGACCTCTTTTGTTGCTACGCTTGATGTCCTTGTGTAGGTCTAGTTGCCTCTTTCCTTCTTTTGATGAAGATTTACATGTTTTGATGTTGGGTGTTGTTGATCACTTCCTAAAGCTCTAAATGGACATTTATGCAAAACATCTATTGTCCTGCTGAAGTAAGTCAACAATCAAGCATTATGTTGGTTTAATGAAAGCATGTCTTGTGTTCATCCACAAAGCACTGTTGTCTTTAGTTGGCTGTGAAACTAAAGAAGACTGAGTGGAGACTGAACAGGATTGACAACACGTTAGACGATGTTAGAATAGATACTGGCTAATATTTTTGAAGTAATTTTGAAATCTGGTTTGGAGATTATTATTCACAGTTTGAAATAGACCATATAATATTACAATTATTGCATTATTAGCCCAGAATACTTTGTAAGATACTTTGGCTTTCGATTGCGTATTGATCAATTGTGTGTTGATCATCAATAATGCATAAACACAGTGGACCAAGACCCAATAACTCATTATTCAAATGAATAATGTTTTGATAGAATAGTTTTATTTATTATGTTTTTTATATTTCATTTTCATGTTTGTATGACAATGCATATGGAAGTATAAGTATACATGTAGTTTGATAGTTTGTGCTAATTAATAAAAGCATTTGATTCTTTCTCCTCTTGGTCTTTGTTACCACTAGGGCTGTTGTCAACTAAAGAATTTGGTATTCGACCAAATAAATATTCAATCATGCCTCACGTGGTGCTTAGTCAACCAAAAAGAAGAGAAATGAAAAAATTGTGTATTGTAACCTTGTTTAAAGTCCATATTGATGATTCAAATGTAGAATGTATTACTATAATCTGTAGAAGTAATTGAATTGTAGACTACAGTTGTTTTCATACTAGTGCAGACCCGGTATTTAAGCCTAGGACCAAATGGCTTGCCGACCTGTGATACCAAGCAAGGAGTTTTTTGGACCAGTGTTGGCCTTTCACTACAGGGAACGTGTCAAAATGAAAGGATCGAGACAAATTTAGGTCTTCTAAAGTCATTGCAGGAGTACCAGGAGCAGAGGGAATCGTATTATAATGGACCTTGACTAAGTTCATCATACGGGGAAATGTGGACACTTTCCTACACATTTTTACAAGGATAACTTATTACAGGAAAGAGCAGCACGTGTAGCTGCCTAAACTTTGATGTCCTAAACACAGCTCCACAGCTTGTTATTCTGTCATCACACATGGTATTGTCTCGCATATGATTTGTGTGTAGTTTTATTACCTTCACCTGACCCACATGTAAACAGCAGGCTATAAAACAGTGCAGTGTTTTAGCTCGTTTTTGCTAATTGACAGGCAAGCAACAAGTAGTTAGAGAACTAAAAGTTTTATTTACAATATTAGTATTAAAACCATGGTATTGTTGTTCAAAATTAAAAGTTGAAGAATAAATATATACCAAATTAAAAACATTTTAATTTGGTATATATTCATTCTTCGACTTTTAATATTGTTCTGATATGCAGTGAATATTTGATAAATAAGAAAATATAAATATATAACAAATGGTATTCAAGCAGCTATTGCTTACATCAACCGACAGTGCAGATACCTTGAGTACTAAGATTAAAAGGAGATTGACTTCTTGTAGATGTTCCTGGCTGATACTTAATACTAAGTTCTATACGGTGTCTAAAACCATAAAGTGCAACCTTAAACAGATGCACTTTATAGCCTTGGTGTACAATCAAAAATTATGAATGTGATTAATTGTAATAATATACTGGAGCAGAATAAAATTATCCTGCAGTAAACCCTTTTATTGAGTCAAACAAGAAGTGTTTCTCATAATCCTCCGACTTGTCCTGCATGTGGTCCTGGGTCTCTAATCTTCGAGGTGGGAACAAGCACCTCCATAAGTGATAGTGAACATAAGGCAAGACTGAGTGTGCAGACACAAGTGTGGAAATTGCTGGGAATGAGAGTTTGGATTATTGCATCTCAGCTGGGCACAGCTCGATAATTGAGCCGGAGTGGGACTGGCAAGACCCTTCAGATGTGAGCCAGAGGAAGAGGGATGGGAAAAAATAGCCAAAGTACCTCTGACCGAGATTCAACACTGCTTCTTTCCAGCTGTGTTGATGATGCAGGTTTGATGAGGCCATTGACTCTTCAGTGAAGCTGTCACTGCATGAGCGCTGCTAAATAGAGGATTTTCATTTAGTGCCATCATGTAGTGTTTTGTTTGGTTCTTTATGGAGTGAATCATCTGCATCCAAACTCAACACATGTAGGCCCATCAACCAGACAGAACATATTGTACTCTACATATTACTGTATTTCTCCAACAATGTAATCCCCCCTAACCCAGGGGCCTCAGAGCTACTTCAGGGTCCTTCAAAGTTTAAACTCTGAAATATTTATAATATGTATGAAATGGACAAATATTTATAATTACTGCATGAATGGTGATTTAGATGCAACCCGTTAAGTTATTATTAGGCCCGAGCCCCAACTGAGGTAAGGGCCTATTGCTTTTCCAACGGCACAGCCCGGAGATTGTGACCTGCACGCGACGGCGCGTGCCCAGACACTGATAAATCCGTGCTGGAGGCACTGAATGGCTTTGCTCCTGCTGTAGTACACAGTGTAATGAATGGGGTCCTATGGAGGGCGTGGGTGACCTCATGATGGCGAGGTGATTGACAAGCGCGATACCGAGAACCCAATAGTTGCGTTCGTCTGGTCGTTCGCTTTAAAACGATGTATCATTTGTATTATAGGTTACTATGGAAACTTATATTGTTTTTGCTCAAAGATTTTGGGAAAAAATTCCTTCTTTCTTTCTTTCTTTTTTCTTCTGCACTTTGAACCTTAATTTGACCCCCTGAACATTGATGAAAAGTTGTGAAATGTTGCCCAAAATTCAGAACCGGCAAAAAATGTATTTTTTGGGTGTTTATTTTTATGGGATAAAAAAAAATGCCCGAACAGCGCCCCCTACAAAAGTCAGTTTACATTGCGCCTATGGGAGTGGGTCGGAGGTCAAGTTTATTGTAGAGCCACAAAACTCGGTACACATGTTCCTCAAGTCAAGACATGAAAAAAAAGTTATTATGGCTCCGCCCCCTGACAAACAGGGAGCTCATTAATTTCAATGGGAAATGGAAAAATGAAAATGTATCTTTTTCACACGTTCCGGTTGGAAAACATCTCCTCCTCGGCCGTTTCACCGATTTGTCTCAAAATCGCTCCACATGGTCTAAACACATGTACCATCAATTATTCAATATAGATTTTGGATCAGTTAAACTTTGTCCGAGCAGCGGAGCGGCAAAATGTGCCTTTTTTTGTTCAATTTTTGATAAAAGTAAATTTGCTCCCGTACAAATAAAGTCTGATTTGCACAATTTTTTTTATCCATTGTTCAGCTCCAGGGTCTTGGTCCCTTCACCTGACCCACGTGTAAACAGCAGGCTATAAAACAGTGCAGTGTTTTAGCTCGTATAAATATATACAGGAAAACAAAACAAAAAAGAGAACATTACAGCTGCTTAGTCCATGTTAAAATTTTTATTTTGAAAATGATTGCTCTAATACATTTCTCTAGTCCCTATTTCCCCACCCCACCAGGTTCTCACATAACTATATTAAATATTATATTCAATATGATACTGAACGTGTAATATATATTTCATAATTTACTACGTAGTTTGTGAACTAATGAAATTTTTTGATTGTTTATGTTTAATTTTTGTCTTTTTTTATTTTGTTTGTCTTTGTTTAGCAGCGAGGACACTTTTTTTTGTAAGTTATTTAGTAACATAACTTGAAAGCGAATGGGTGGATTGAATGGTACAAGAAACATATTTCCTTTTGATATGATCCGGATTACCGTCTCGATCAAGATAATTTTTTTAGGGATATGTTACAATTTTGCATAAAGTAGTAGTTATTTTATTTCCAACACGATCATTCACTTCATGGATTATCTTAAGTTATCTTAAGGATAATTCAAAACCGGGCCGCAAAGAGAGTAAATTGTGTATTATTCTAGTTTTATCATTATTTTAATTTGGAAAATGGTTGGATTCTCTCCAGTCTGCAGTCACTGCGCTGTGTACAGGACTTTTTTTTCATCTTTATATTTAACTACTTTTATATACAATTGACCTGTGCTCGCACCGGTCACCTGTAGATACTACTGTAAAATGGCAGTTCGTCTTTAGGGTAAATAGGATATATAATAATGATAATATTTCAATCAATCAAATCATGTTATGTGCATGTGATCAAAATACAAAGACAGACTTGTTTTCAAATGCTTTATTCTAAGTAATTACACCAGTCATATATTTAACACTAGTGGCTCATGGTGATGAGAATTGGTTTGAGAATAAAAGCGGCTGGTTTGTGAAATAAATGTCTGACGTTAAACCAATCCATGGCAGTAAACAGGTTTTGCTGTGTTTGAAGTAATGTTTATTTATATAGTGCACTTTTACAGACGAAAGACATCCAAAGTGCTTTACAATTTTCAGAGTTCAGATATTGTTCCAATCATTCCACACACGGTGATGATGGAAGCGAGTTGCTGAACACACTGGCGCATCAAAGCCTCCAATCAACACCATCCATCCATTCGCTCATCTACATTCATACTTAATGTACATGTTTTTAGTGGTAGGGGAAACCTACACAGACACAGGGAGAACATGTAAACTCCACTCAGAGAGGCCCTGTTCCGACCAGGATTTGAACCCAGGACCTTCTTGCTGAGAAGCAAGAGTGCTATCCACTCACCCACCGTGCCATTCACATTTCAATAGATTAATAACATTTCTGAAATGTTCCACAAACTTTTTAATATAATTCAGTAAGTCACTATGGCGTCAGCCATTGTACTGCTTCTAGACCTCTTTCATTACTGTGCATTGGAGCCAGTGCATTTGTGTGTTTTGTTCAGACCCTTGTGTCAATGGGTAATCTTGTTGTGCTGCTGCATGCGCTCACAGACGAGAGAGCCCTTGAGCCCTGATAGGAGATGGTAATCAGACGAGATGACAGCCACTGGCCCATAGAATAAACAGTCTCATTATTGTTACATTTGCTGTGTAATAGTCTCATTTAGTGTTGGCTAAACCTGAATTCGAACAGTTAGCTGCTAATAGTAGCATCCAAAGAGTAACAGCCCCTCAAAAGTTTCAGTGAACCCAAGTCACGACATGATCTTTAAAAAAATATATATATTTTTTATAAAAAACTGAGATAAATCTTTTTTGGCTTACAAATACATTTTACCTCAAATAAATAGATTAAATCAAACCTTGCACAAAATGAACTGTCTACTCTCACTAGGAACTGCATAAATCTTATTATTTTATTTATTGTCTTTAATAAAAAAATAAAATGTATACATGGTGTAAGAATGTATTTTTGTGCCTGAACAGCAAATCTTGGCTGAGAGCTAAATGCAGAACATGGAATTCACAAAAACATTATATGGCGGCTGCCAACATTGAAGCGGAGCTAGACAAACACATCTATAGTCGGCTCTGTGCCACTACTATTGTTCAAAATGAAGACTTCCTGCTACTATAAGTATCCAGTCTGGTATTCCTTGTTTCATTGATTCTTTGACTCTGCTACTTGTCCATCTTACATCTTACAGGCCAACAATTTTTGAGCAGGTTGGATTAGGATCTTGACCATGACTTCACATGGGAAAGTGAACAAGTTTGACATGAATGAAAAAATATTGAAAAATCAATTAACATCAGAAAAAAAAAAAAAATTGGTGATAAACAACTACTGTAGCCAAAGCTGCCCTGGGGCACACCGACAGAAGCGAGGCTACCAGTATGTGTCATCTGCCCCTCCAACAACCACCAACCACTCACACACACACCGGACTCTTTCTAGGCAATGTGGGTGAAGTGTCTTGTTTAAGGCTGCCCCATTGTGGCACCTGGTGTTCCCAGAGGTCTCCCATCACAGTACTTACCAGGTCCTGTCTTGCTTAGCTTCTGATGTCTCACGGAATCTTGCTTTCACATGCAGGTGGCGCCACAAAATGTGTAAAGCAGAATCCACACAGAAATTACAGTCCAGCCAAGGGAATACAACAACCTTGTTCAGGAGAATGAGTACTACTGACCACTAAGCCTCTAATGCTGCCAAAATTAAACCTTACATATACCATGTATATGTGCATGTCAAAAATGTGTATTTAAACAGGGATGTTGAAAGTATTGCATTTCTTGAATTTGATCATAACTGGAACAATCGATAACTTGGAACGTGTTATTTATGCTTTTCTCTCCCTGCAATTGTGTTTGCTTTGTGGCCTTGTGGGTATGACTAAAAACTAGTTGAAGCATCAAACATTTTATACACTATATGGCATAAATTAGATTAGACAAAATGGCATATGCCAGATGGTCTTTCTCTGCAGTTGGGTTGGGGTTATTGGTTTTTGTTTTTCACTTTTGAAAAATACAGAGAAAATTAGTTTTACGCATTTTCCTTCCTCAGCTGTTTGGGATGAATCATTGCCACATAATGCAAATGTTGTTTGTTATACCAATACCTCAAAAACATAATTGAATAGTGAAGAAAACAAAATCGAGTATCTTTATTGCCGGCTGAGGTAGAAATTCATCTTTTGCCCAAGTCAACATAAAAACAGCACAAAAGACAACCCTTAAGAAGTGAGCATGATTTGGCTACAGCATTTAACAGAAACAATTATTACCTCCCCTGGGGAGTAATGGTATGAACAAGGTTTGTTTGTTTGGTAGCTAGCGAGTTAAGGCAGAAGGTTCTTCTAATAAGACAGGGTGTAAACGCTGGCACTGTCAAATTACTTTACAAATGTTTCGGCGGTCGACTTTTGCCTTTATCAGATGTGACCACAGACGTAAATTTTAACACATGATGGTGTGTGTTGTCTCCTGGTTGTCTCTTATCAGCTGCTGTTTTTATGCGGCCAGTCTGATCGGGCAGATCCGTCAGACTGACCACACCTGCACCATGCGGTGATCTTTGGAGTCTCTTGCATGGATCTATAATGTGTAAGCCATCGTCTCTGTTGATGGCTTGTGCACCACACTTTCTGATTTCAGTACGCAGTGGGGTCCTGTTGAGACAATGTTTCGGACATGTCTATGCTTTAATAGTCTTTGTATTAGCTATTAGTATAATAGTTATTATTATAGATCCATGGCTTTAACAGTCTATGGTCAAAATCCGATCGAATACGAGGAAAGAGACGAGAGGGACCAATGATCTAGGGACCGCACTGTACGGGAGCAGACAGGTGTGTGTGTTCGCGCTGCTAATCAAAAACATGTGCCGATGTTTAGTCCGAATGTACATATCAAAAACATATTATAAAAACAATGCACATGTATTAGCAAACAGTGTATGGTGTTTTGTGTAGAAAATAAACATATATATAACGTACAAATATACAGATACAGATAACGTACAAATGTACAGATATATATCTGTACATTTGGAAAATTTGCTGGAAGTGTCCATGAAAATGTCTCACATTGAACTGAGATCATTTTCAATGCACTTTTTATAGTTTGCCTTTTGTTCATAAAGTTGTTGCAGGTTATGCCCGATATTGTTATAGATCCATGGTTGTACCCAGGTTATTACTTGAATCTTAAAAAACAAAAGAAGGTGGCTCACCCTTTGTTAATTTGTTTTAAATAATACCTGAATGACTGAGCACTTACAAACTTACTTGAATCTTGTTTTAATGAGAATTTATTGCAAAAAATATTTGCGATCTCTTTTACTAACATGTTTCTCACTACATTTGTGGTAGAGTTGGTTTCAGGAATTATTATTATTTAGTGTTTATTGAACTTTTTAGGTCTATTTGCTCCACAGCTGTTCAGAAATTACATTACATTACATCATTATAAAATGCATATTATAAAATAAATGTTATCTATCATTTACACATAAAATAATTGTTACTACTGAGCGACAGTGGCTCAGTTGATGTAGCATTGGCCTTTGAGCCTGGAGGTCGTGGGTTCGAGCCCACTACGAGACCTTTTCCACTGACTCCCACTGATGTCTACTGTCATTGTGTCCTTGAGCAAAGACATTTAACCCACTTTGCCTATAAGAAGTAGAAGTAATGTTCGCTGCATGCCTTGATGTGTATAGTGCATTCATCAAATTCATTTCCCCACGGTGGGACGAATAAAGGACCTTCTTCTTCTAATGTAGTTGTTGTTGAAGGATTTCAATAATTTCATTATTTGCAACAAAACTAATGGAAGAAATTGCTTGAATAGATTTATATAAAATCAAATATTTATTGTTGTCGATTCAACCACTTCACAAAGCATGTTTTTTGACAAGTTTTATGATTTCTATTGAACTGATCAAGCCAGTTTAAGTCCTCTTTAAGTCCAGAAATTATATGCAGCCCGACTTTGTGAATTGTAAGTGTCCGGTTTTGGTCTATGGCATTGAGATGATCTGTGAGTTCCTGTGTGTGTCCTGTTTTTACAACAACAAAAGTAGTTCTCTCGGAAGACTTTACAAAACCATTGTAAAGACCTTTGATCCAGGATTTTTTTTAAGGAATGGAACTGCGCATTTTTGGCTAATGTCTGCACTCTATATGTGGTTTTATCTAGGGCTGTAATGTTTTAAAGAATATTATGATCTGCTATTTTTGTAACTACTCTTTAATACAAATGTAAAGCATGTATACATGTGCTGTAAGATATGATCTCAAACAAGACTCAAACACAGTGGTTATTGCAAAAAAGATATAAACTGTGTAAATATAGCCCTGTGGGTAATTCTGGTACATTTACAGAAATGTTCATTAATGTACACTGTCAAATAAACTAAATAATAAATACATAATTTAATTAGTCTAATTTGTCAAGGTGAAACAGTTCTGAACATGTCCTAAAGCTGTTTCACATCAGCTTTATCCGTGTCAAACTAATCAATTAATTAAAAGAATATTCACTATTTATCGATCAGCAATATAAACTTGAGTTACATTCCTCTTTGAATTGATTAAGATAATACAGATAAAAACAGGAAAAGGTCTATTGTGTCCATTTGTAATACCTCTGAAGGCAGAAAGGAAAGGGAACAATTTGTTTCCCTCCCCCAACATTTGCCTGCACAAGCAGCTGGGGATGTCCTGATTGTTTTCAACATCAAGTTTGTAAAGAAGCAGCCAAAGTAACAATATCATTTACTAATTGTCTGAGGAATGTTGGGCATGCTTTGAGAGATCCTCCTGACTGTGAGTTATGAATGTCTTTCTTTGGCAGGTCTAGAAGAGCGGACCAACCAAGCGTCCTGGGCCCCAGGTGGCGAGTCCCAGTCCGTCCTATGAGTCTTCTCGGGTAAGACAATCCACATTGTAACGCTAGTGAAGGGCCTTTCTGCTCCACAACACACTCTTATTATCAGAGTACAGTATAACTCTAGTAACTGAGCAGATAGCAGACCTGTCAAGTGTCACATTTTGGCTCAGATTGTCACATAGTTTACCCCCTCTGTCCCAATTGGCCGTGTCTTTGCGCAAGCCAACCACAGAGCACTGTAAGAAACAGACCTAGATCATGGAAGACTCAGGAAGTGTCCATGTCCTCCCTCATGTCTCCTACAGTGCAGTGTTTCTAATAATCTCTCGGCCTCTGTCTCATCTGAGGCTTGTATGACAAATCAGTTCAATTTAAGGTTATTTGAAGCCTAAATTCCAATTGTGAAAATAAAAAAATTAAAAACTACATGAAACAAGGGGGTCCTAACATTTTCCTCCCATTAGTCTTAAGTCTCTAATGTCAAATGTTAAAATAATCAAATCACACTATGACATCTACCTTCATCTCCACTTAAAAATTATATGTTGTCCTGTTTCTTGGCACACACACATGCACGCACACACACGCTATGAGTAATGTGTATACAATAACTAGGGCTTCGAACTATCGGCAAAATTTTTCTGTAAATGGTCGTTTGAATGGAAAGATTAATGACAACATAGTGTACATATGTACTGTATTTGTTTATTATTACAACAATAAATCCACATAAAATGGCATTAACATTATTAACATTCTGTCTTTCTGTAGTAGACAGTATTTTTTCCTCTGAAAAAGAGGGCCTCTTGTTCAGTAACAGAAAACTGTCCACAGTCCATTGAAACCCACTTGGCATAGGAACTATACCTGATTTATTTTTTAAGGAGTTCAGAGAAATGCGTATTGCTACATACAAGTTGTATTAAAACCCGTAAATGAATTGAAAAATTGAGCTCATTGATTCAGCTTGTGTATGAATTCAGGCCGTAAAAAGTGCTGAGTAGAAACAGCGTGACGCTAGTTCTCCTCCAACGAGTGGCAACGCTGTTACAAACAGGCTGCGTCCTCTAGCGTCTAAAGGTAAACACTGTAGCATGGTAGCAGAAAGTGGCTATACCTGCTCTGGCTGTAACTGCATACACAGCAAAACAGCCCAAAAGACGCAACAGTGAGGAGGAGGAGCCCGAGTGAATATAGCTAGCTTACATAGTATCCTCGCTGGAGGGACTTGCGGGAGCGGGACTACCTCGGACGCAAAACTGGCGGTTATCTTTCAGTTATAGCTGTGCGTTACTTTTTTACCATTTCATCTGTGAATGCTGTACAGCTTATAAGTGGTTGTGCTAATGCTAACTAATGCCTATCAGATCGCTACTAAAACTAGATGGCTCAGTGGGAGGAGAGCGTAGGAGAGTAGGAGGGTTTCTCAAAATGAGAAGCCTGGGAGGGTCACTTCTGAGTGTTATTATGGGATGCATGGGTGGGTCATTCGGCACATGCGTCAAATGTGTAATTTTTTAAAACACGATTAATGAGACAATTTAATTAACGTGCGTTAACGCAATCATTTTGACAGCTCTAACAATAACATAAAATCCTTAAGGTCTTATACTTTTGCCATTTTTGTAAGATATATTACTATACGTTCAATTAGCCATCAATCTGTGTGTGTGTGTGGTTTTTATTTTTATTTATATATATATATATATATATATATATATACAACCCCCCCTCCCACTTCCACCCTCCCTCCCCAATTCGTCTCCAGGTTGACAGTGTATCTCATAGAATTATGTTTAGCTATGTATATAAAAAAAAAACACAACACACAGACTGTACTTGCTGTCAACAACTGTAAATGCATCTAATCTTGTGTGTAATAAACAATAAAAAAAAAATCAGGAGAAAGGTCTTTGTCTTATTCTTACAAATAGTTGTAACCTATCAATCCGAAAGAAAATGAGACAATCGCATCTCTGGGCCACACTTTTCCCAGCCTGTGGATGAGGAAAATATTCAATGTGTTGGTCTGAGAAGTTTGTTAAAATCAAAATATGTGCATGAGGTGTGCGTTTGATATTGTTTCAACCCCCTGAAACACCGTGTTCATGTAAACGAAAGGCCAATCAGATTCCAACGTTAACGTTTTATTGTCGCAGCGTCCTTGTGTAAACGGCACCGGAGCTAATTATCTCTGAGCCCAAAACGTCAAATAGTGACTCACAGGGATATTTCTTGTGTGCACAAGGTAAAATTACCCCCTGGAAAGTGGTTTTTGCCATAATAACCAGAGAACATGAATGTACCAACTCCCAGAAGCCTCTTAAAGGAGCAATATTATGCAAAATCAACCTTTTAACCTTGTTATCATCAAAATAGACATGGAGTTGTGACTGATTACTGTAGACTGATTTATACAATTATTTATGGCTACAATCATATTCCCCTCATACCCATTTCTCTTTGTAAACGGCACTGATTGTGGTGGAGGTGTGCGAGTGCCTGTTTAAACTCAGTTGTTTGTTTAGCTGGAATCATTTCGTTGTGAGTGTGAGCAAGTGTGAACAGCACTGCCCCGTTTGTTTGCGCCTCACACATTGGTTGTTCTCGATGCCCTGTATGAATTTCATTTAATGTCAATCTCTTGTCACTTTGCATTAGAATTCAGTTAAATGTCAGAGCCACTCGGGCTGCGTTACCTTGTTTATTTCTTGTTGCCCTTCCCGAATGAATATCTAGAGGCTATGGTAACACAGGCAGCTTGATTTGAATTATAAGACAGTGACGCTTGAAATATCTTTGCTCCAGGTGCATATAAATGAATGTTTCTGACATTGCAAGGCACAGCATCAGCCAGCAGACAGCTGTTTGCTCCTCCAAAAGGCGAGCACACAAACGCGCACATGCCACTCAGACACATCTGCACTTTCATGGAGTGATTTGTACAGTCCCTTACACTTGGGGACAAGACAAGAGCGTGGAATATTTATGTTATATGTGCATATGCATGATACATGGGTCTGGGAAAGATGCCAAATGTATATAAATTGTTTTTAAATGCAGTATAATGACACACTACAATATGACCACCAGCATTTATTGTGTACTATGAGCAGTGCAGTTTGCTTGAGCACTCAAAGACACAGGAGACCCCGAGCTTGTTTTAGCCGGTAAGGCGGTGAGCTGTACGCTTGTGATCATTGGACTGTGAAGAGTCTCAAGCCAGACGGGCTGACCTTGGCTCTCAGCCAGAGTTGGTATCCTGGGCAGCTGTAGCTGTAGGCTGTTGGTCTGACAGGCTCACACTCACTCCCCCAGTGGCTTGCCGCAAGTTGATTCTCGACCTCACGTGCATCCATCATGATCAATTCATGTCGTCCCAGGCCAACACATGCAGTTACTGGTGAACCTGGGAAAGGTAGAACAAACACTGGCTTCAAACAATCTGTCGAATGATTGAAAATGAGGTCTGTGCTCTTGTTCACATGCTGCCTGTGTTAGCTGTCAGTTATTTAGCCACTAGTGCTCCCAAACCCCTGTGGCTTCAGTGACAGTGTGGGTTAGGATCTCACACAGATGTAGACCAGTGTAAGACTTAAAGGAAATGGATACATTTACAACCAAGAAAAATATAATCATATTTTTGTAATATTTCCTAGAGATGTATCTGTACTGGTATAGGCTTAATAACCGATTCTTGTTTTTAATAATAAAGTATACTGTTTGTTAGGACCATATTCACAAATATGTTTCCCTTTCTCAAAAGCGTGTGTGCAAAAACTGGGGGAAGATTGGTTCTCCATAGTGAAAACTAGGGTTGGGTGATATGGAGAAAAATCTCGATATAGCATTCTATATCTCGATATACAGGTTTTTAGCTGTGTATAAAGTTTACAGTCTCTGGTATAAAGTCACATTGTTCTATGATGATATGAGGTCTCATGTCCACCGCTCTAAGAATGCCACAGACTCTGATGCTACACCTCCTGCGCTTCTGTCATATTCTACACTCCGCGTGTTTTAGACAAGTTTGCTGCCTCCGAGCATGAGTTTATGCTCCTAGCTGAGCGAGCAACATGCCACAAATGAAACACACGCGAGAGGAGGGGCCGAGGGGGAGCAACAGCAGGAGTAGGGGGCGAGCAGGCGAGTGCAGAGAAGGCAGATGAGCAAAGCAGCGAAAGTGAAATTTAAACATTATATCGATATATGTGATATGTCAAAATTAATATCAAGTCAAAAAATATCAAAAAAAATATCTTGATATTTCGTAAATATCAATATATTGCCTACCCCAAGTAAAAAGGACTTGTGCCACTCATCCATAATGACATGGTTTCTCCTGTTCCCTCTGATACCCCTGGTGCGTGTGTTTGTGGTCCCTGTATAGGTACTCTTTGGGCCCTTCCCAATTCAGACCCTAGCCCATAATTTGTTCCCTTACCCTAGATTTTGCGTGTGCCCGAGCCGGGGTGTAGGGTGTCCCAATACTTAGGGAGCAAAGACGAGTGCACTCTCTACCCTTAAAAAAGCCACTTGGTAGCAATTGAGATTCGGAGCACACTTTTGGGTAAAGGAGTATGCATTACGATAGTTATTAAGGTAGCTGTCACGCAATGAAACAATGAAAGAAAAGCGCAAGTAGTGATGTGCTGAACAAGTGTGAAGTGTGTGCCAAGTAAAGTGTGTGTTGAGGTGGGTGTTGGTGCCGTATGTGGTGACGTTCGAAGCGGGCTGCACCATTTTGACGGTTCACTGAGACGCTACAGAGACATGGATGCATGTCATTATTATAGATCCATGCATGGATGTAGTTCAGAGTGCATCGCTTTGACAGGTCTGCTGCTTTGTGATCCACGGCTGTACCCGTCTGTCTCTGTGAGTAGATGTGGAGCAGTGCTGTACATAATTATAGCTAATCTTCTTCAAATGAAATACAATTAAAAACATCTCACTTTAATAAAACCAAGTCTATCTTATATGGGGTGAAATCAGACACCTTGATGTTACGTGGGACCTGAAAAAACAT